GGGGAAAGGGCAGGAATGGGGAAAGGGCAGGAATGGGGGAAAGGGCAGGAATGGGGAAAGGGCAGGAATAGGGGAAAGGGCAGGAATAGGGGAAAGGGCAGGAATAGGGGAAAGGGCAGGAATAGCAGAAGCAAGTTTTGAAAACAGATTTATCTGGGTCCAAATTTGAAATATTTTACTTACTAAATCTCTATCATGTTTACGATAACCTCATCAAACTCTGCAAGCCTCAACTTTCTCAATGGAAAAATAGCAATGCCTGTATCGTTCTGTTAAATATGGGTTAAATAATGGTGAAGTGTCTCTAGATAACCACCATATTCATTGCAAAGTAAAGGGTGGAAAAACTCTAGCCTAATATATATATTTTCTTTTGTTCCTTGCCTTCTTTGTCTGTACTTCTTTTTAGAATTGACCTTCAGAAGTATATCTTCTTTCTAAGTTTATATTATTCTTATAGAGTTATTATAAATATGGTATTTGTATATTAAATATAACTCAATTTCAATTTTTTATATATAAACTAGGAAAGGTGATCAATGTTTATAAGCCACATGGCCATATATTTCACTCTGACTATATGTGCGTCTATATGTGGCTTGAAGTTAGCTGTTTGGGTGATCAAATCAGAATAAATAAATCAACTTGATTTATGTTTTTGTTTTTCAAGAACTTTGTGCAATCCTTCATCTAAATTAAAGAAATCAACTAGTTTTGTAACAATACAGACAACGCTCTAAGAATAGCATTTTGCATTGTGTGTGGTATGCAAAAAAATGTTTTTCCCTCTGTATCCAGTATGTTTATGGGCCCCTCCTCACCCCAACAGTTGGTATATGCCCAGGGAATGTGAAATCATTTCAGCATTGGCCCAAGTACAACATAGAGTAATTAGAGAAGTAAATCTATTCTCTACAACTCATTGTGTGTATTCAAGAGCCAAATGAAATTTTCCTTGCAATTACCCTATGTTTGGGGATTATTCACCCCACCGCTTATTTCCTAACTCCAACTGTTTGCCCATGTGTCTGTCTGTCACTCTCCATCTTTCTTCATCAATCCAATAAAATACAGCTGACCCAAAATGAGAACCAAGGCAGTATGTGTAAAAATTAATTTGAAAAGCAAAATGTCAAGTTTGAAAATACAAACAGACAAGTTCTTTTCTTCTTTATATATAAGTTCTAAATTCATGGAGAACTACATGGTGTTTTTAAGTACAGAAATAACAAGTTAAAAATCACCCTGAATCCAACAATCCAAAGGAAACTATGAGTTTAGACACACAATTTACCTTCCTGGGATATTGAACTAAGATTCCACTGAATGGTTTGTCTGCATTTTCCTCAGCAATTCATCTATCTATGCTACATTCGCTGTACTACTTATTAGCATAAGTAAAACTAGTGAGCTGCAAGAATTGATTATCAATTGTTTTTCT